TTTTCAGCATTTTTCCATAATATTTCCTATTTTCAGAAGTTCATCAAGCTTTACATTGAATCCATCACATGATGCAGAAACGGATGATGATGTTATACGTAATGTAGTACGTGGTTTGGTGCGAGATATATTGTTGCAGGAGAAAGAATTACTGAGGCGAAGTTTAAGGAAGAAACGGCGACATCTTATTACAATGCCTAAAATGGATCATAGATCGAGTAGCTGATTACCTGTCTGCTTAGCAAAATAAAGAGATCCCTTATGTAAGTCTTGTAAATAATGGAAAATATTCTATATCTAACAGTGATCAAATAAGGATATGAAAATTAGTATGCTATAGGCCTATGACCTTTTAATGTTATTTTGATTAGGCATGTTTCCTGATTTGGAAATTTAATTTTGAATTTAATTATCACAACACAGAAATGAGAATTTTATTTTTATGTGTCTTTTAGGCATACCTGTTGTGTAAAATATGTCATATCTGAGTGATTTTTTTTTTTTTCAGAATTACATTTTACCAACCAATTGGATCCTCTTCTCCCAGTACTTTTAAAGGTAGTTAGAATAATTTTAGTAACAATATTTTAAAAAGTAATGATTTATTTTGAGGTGTCATTTCATTTAGGGATGTAGTTTAATTTTACAATTTCAATTTCCTTAACATTTTTGGGTACGGTACTTCAAATAAAGAGACATTATGAAAGCTATTGCATAAGTAAAAATAAAAACCAATGACATGTCGTACAGACTTTTATCATTATTAATGATTTTGCATAAAAACTAAAAAGAAATTCAGACACACGAGCAGTATATACTTTGAGCAATTTCTTTTCTAGTCTTGCAGTATATTTAGTCACGAATTTGTTGTCACCTGTCTCCTTCGCCCCTCCCGTGTTCTCGTCAAATGTTTTTCATCTCATTTACGTTAAGGACATCACTTTCTTCCTCTTCCTATATTCGATAGTGATTCTTTTCGTTGTATTTTTTTTTTTGTTTTTTGTTTTTCTACATTTGCTATTGTTTCATTCTTTTCTCACTGTATTTTCTTTTCCAGATGTGGAAGAATCACCTCATACTGGTTTTATTGCACTTGTTCATAATTCATTTGTATGGTAGGAATAAATCGTACTTGTACATTTACCTGGAAACAATTTTATACATACGTAATTCAAACATTAATCATCGCAATCAATTGAATTCCCTATTCTTTGTTAAACTTCGGAGAATGCTTTTAGTTGAATCCTACAATGGAATAACAGGAAAAATGATAACTGGAAACATTTCTCTTGATCTATTGTTGTTTAGCTCCACTTTACTGTTTGATATCTAAAATTATCCTTTATCATGATAGGCAAATGAAATAATCATTTCGTTGTTATTCATTTGGATGCTTAATTAGTTAGGTTTTATTCCTCACTTTTATGAAGATTAGAATTACTAGCAGAAAAAGTTAGTTAAAGTAGTCTTCTAAAAATTTCAGGAATGTTATATGCAAAGTTATTTTATTGCATATTCATCCAGGTATAATATTTTCCATAAAAGTATATTACAATCATTACAATGAAGTACTTGTAGTACTTGTCTCCTTTTTTGGCTTATATTTATTCTTTGTCTGCTTTACTTTGTGGTCATTACTTACCTGAACTAATTATATACGTCACAGTTTCAGGGTTCTTTTCTTTTTTTTTTTTTCACTTTTCAGTTTATTATGCCTAATATGCATTCTTACTTATGCCTTCAAATCTTTTCGCAATTGAAAGCATTATGCTGTTGTATTGTTAGATTAGAATTGAGATATGAATAATTTGCTCATGAATTTGTCCAGATTGCTGCTAATCATACAAGAATATTTGCTAGAGAATACATTTGTTTAGATTTTGGCAAATATCATTCAGGTAACCATCAAATGCTTCAACCGGAAATTGTTATATTTTGCTTTTTCTTTTTTTGCTTGCTTATAGTTGTCTAATTTACAGGAGGTTTTAAGATATTTCTTTAATCCAGGTACGCTTTCAGTGTTGAAATCTAACTCATTTTGAGCGTAATCAACAACTGTGCAATATCGATTTATTGGAAAGAAGATTGTTCTTTTATATTCATTGAAACAAAGCTTTCATTTATTCTTTATTTAATTCTTCAATCGCTTAATACTATTAAATGTGTTAAAATTAGAAAATTGTAAATAAGTGTTGATTATATATATTGCATTCTTTCTTTTTTTTTCAATTTATTTACAAGTGATGATCAGTAATGTGAATTGTAGAAACTAATCATAACTAATCAGTAATCTTTCTCCATCTAAATAACATGTTTGATTTGTTAAATTTTAGATTTATTTCATAAATTGCAAGTGATAGTTACATTAATAGTTGGCAGTTTTAACATGATAATCCATGAGCAACTCAATGATTTTATTGTTCTTCAAATTCGCGGTTATTCATTAAATTATTATGTCTGATTTATGGATTAAGTTTGAAATTGATTGAAATTTAAATTTAATTAAAACTTTGCTATCTTTTGATAGCTATTTTCAGTGCTTTAATTGTAAGACTTAGCAAATCCAAAATGACATTAGTGTTTACGAAAATTTCCATCATATAACTTAGAAAAAGGATTAGAATTATTTGCTTTTTCTTCTTTCATTTTCAATATGAAATTTCCATGATGAAATTTGGATTTACAATAATATTGTATCAATTGATACTTGTTATCAGTTATACTATTTTAATTGCACATTGATTGTCGCTTACCGTTGTACTTTTTTGCAACTTTTCTCGTATATTCCTGAGATCTTATTATAAATTTAGATAGGAGATAAGAAAAAAACCGTAAATTCTGATCCATCCATCCATTTTTTCTTTTTGAATTATATAAAATAGATTATATGTCGCTATTTAAAATGAAGACGAAAAAAATTTTTTGCAAGAAAGAAAATATCGATTCAGATTTTGGGAAAGACGAGAAAATGTTGGAATATATTACAATACTGATTCTTAATTTGATCCTACGGAATGATTATGATAGTTTGAAAAGATTTCATTTCTCAGAAATATGTTTTGAAATTTAAAGCGGTGTCGGAGTAAGTTGTGCAGGATTGAAAGATTCCGGTTAGGGTCATATCTCATTATAAATAAGAAACTTATTTATTCTTTATGTAATATGAATGAGAAGGAATATTATTATTGCATCACTGCATCATCATCTTCCATGATTCTTATAATAATGGCTTTCATTTCTTTCTTTTTTTGTTTTCCGATGATTTCTTTTTTTGCTTTTCTTTATATAATGTCTGATTGTACATAGTGATTATTCACTAGTAAACGGTGTAACTTTTTGAAACATTTTACATTTTAGTCTAAACATTAACTTAGATTGAATGATACATATGTAACTAGCAACCGAAAAGGTTACTCTGGAAATTCTTCAGGTTGTAATCTGATTATGACCGGAAGTTCAAAATAAAACGAATAAATTATCGCCATAATTCGAGTGTATTAGAATATTAAAATTGCATCATTTAATAATTCTCATCATTTTCTTCCGTATCATTCTGCCTACGGAATATTTTCCTGTAAAGAATAGAGTGAGTTCTATTATTCAAAAAAAAAAAAAGCGAAAGTTTCATAATTATTAATTCTGCAATTCATATTTCTCGAATTCTTCTAGCATTTGAAATTTCAACGATAAAATACCGAGTAAATATACTAAACACAGAAAGGTCTGAAACTGATCAAGTTGGAGCGATGCTGCTTGACATTTTGAATTAACTAAAATTCTAAAATGATTGTTTTACAAATTTGTGAGCATTTCAAAATGATTAATTTACTTAACGAAAAATTCTATATTCAACTTCCATTGTTCGGCATAAAAAGTTGTGTAGAAGAGTAAAAAGCGTAAAAAAATAAATCCACAAAATGGCTAAAATCGATGAATGTCATTAATTGCTCATTGCTAAATAATTTGCTTTGTAGGAAAAGCTTTTCTTATCGATAGAATTTTTTTTTTTTTTTTGTTATTTTTGAATGCTTTTTTATATTCTTTAAATGCTATTTATTTATTTTTATTTATTTTTTTTTTGAAATCTTTTTTTCTCTTTTTATTTTTTATGAATTTAATTCCATCGATTGATTTTAATCAATTCTATTGAATCGAATTCATTCATTCTTCCATGATAGCATGTGAATTTCATTTATTTTAATCAATTCTATTGAATTGATTCCATTCATTCTTCCATAATAGCAAATGTGCAACTTTTATTTAAAATGAATATTTGATATAATTTTTTATGTACATTAGTAATACATTAAATTATAATTAAATTTTTATTGATTGTTAGAGAGATTTGCGGGTAATTAGCATATAGTTAAATATAAATTAAGATTTAATCTTTTCCCGTCAAAAATAAATAATGATAAAAAGGTGAGAAAGCGGAAAAAGGTAAGTGAGTAAAGTGAAAGATATGCTTTCGTATGCTTTTTGGGTGAATCATTTTCTTACCGGAACAAAATGTTTATATCCTGCTAATAAATAACTTTAGCTTATGTACAGACACACACACACATACACATGCACACATACATACTTCAAAATTAGATGAACTTTAGCAAATATAGGTAGAGTAATGGAATAAAACTGCTTCTATATCGATCGATAGAAATGATTGTAAAGAGAATTAGTGAAACTTAAGAAGTATGACTTCACCTTCCTCTGTTTACTTCTGTAATATTTGCATTTCATTGCACATATCTTTGTCACATCTGTCAACATTGATGGATTTCTGCACCTCTCACTTTCAATCTTTAAAGATTTGCAAATTTTTGTATTTGCTAAGAGTAACTGTGAAATTCACTTCAACATTCTATAAAGGAATTTATTATTTGCATTATTAATTTTTGCTATTAAATGTCTCCAAAAAAAAAAAATTTTATTAAAATTTCGTCACGCTAAAATGTAAATGTTGGATTTACAGTAATGCATTAATTATATTCGAGGAGAGTATGTCTATTCATATTATTATGATTATACCATTGTTATCATTGATATTTCCATTCATTTATTGTTCATCGAATTATACTGTTGAAACATTTCCGGATTCATTAGTTAGACCGGATCTTTGTAATCTTAGCTCTCCAGGATTTGCATGTGATCCGGATCAATTACTAAAACGTTTCAATCATACACTTTCCGGTAAGTTCGACTAACTCTTTATCATATTCAGATATTTGCTTTCTTTTTACTTACTGATACAATAATTTTTATGTTTCTATTTAGGAGCAGAATATTTATCAAAGCATTTGCAACGAATTCGTTATGCGACAAATTGTCCATGCCTGGATGTGGATAAATCGTATGGTTATTGTCCTCCAAATAATTCACATGGATATACAATATCAATTGCTATTATCAGATCAATTGGAATGAACGGTGATAAGACGATGTAAGTATGCTTTATATCTATTTGATTAATTTAATTATCTTTAGTTTATTTACAATAAATCACTTTCTTCTTTTGTAATTTTATCACAAATAATTTCACTGTTTGATATGATAGTGATTTTGAATCTAATTTTGCAAAACTTTTTTTATTGAGTAGAATCTAAAAATATGCAATTAAGACAATTTCAAACATAATGTATTCATTTCTTTAAAATACTTTAATAAAGGAAAAAAAAAAAAAAAAACCATTTCGTTTTTCAGGAATGGAGAGGATCTGAATCATACAATTCAGATATTTGCTGAAATGTTACGACGACGACAAAACCGTGGTCAATGTGCTGATGATGCATTGATTGTTGCAGTTGCTGATTGGAAAGCTGTTAGTTTGCAAATTTAATTTTAAATTTGAAAATAATTGATTGGTTTCAACTTCAATTTCAATTACCTATTTGTTTTAGGTTTATACATCAGTGGGTGAAGTGATAGGAAGAGCTCTCACATCAAATATTATCATGAGAATAAATCGAGAAGCTGGTATTTTTTATTTCAAAATTAATATTTTAATGGAAACTTTAGAATCTTATTGTGTAAAATCAAATTATGCAGTGGAAAAAGTTAGAATAAAAAGAAGTGATATACTTAAAAGTTATACAGTAATTGTTTTATTATAACTATTTGATTCTGAATTGATAACACTGAAATCATCGTAGTGTAATGACAAAAAATTTTGGTAGAATAAAATTGGATACTGATTATTTGATTGATTGATTGATTGATTAGTAGTTGATTATCGATCAAATTATGATCGATGATCCATTGCATATACAAATAGCATTCATATTTATTCGTTATGAGCTAAGGTATAAGATAAATTTTAAATAATCAATAATTACATTTTGAATAATTGAGTTGATTTTAGAAATTGAAAATATTATTTGATATACGAAGACAGTAAGGGAGAAGAAATGGCTAAATTCAGTACTTTTTAACCAAAAAAAAAAAAGAAAAAAGAAAAAAGAATAGATTAGATATTCGCCATTCTTATTTAATCACTAATATCTTTTTTATTATTATTTAATCACTAATATCATCGATATCATCGATTTTTTGAGAATATATTTCAAAGATGACAAAAATGATAATTATTTTTTGTATAATTTTAGAATCACTATTTGCTAATGCTAATTATCTTTATGGATTAACATTTATGGTGAATCGTTATGGACAAATTTTACAACATTCGATGCAATCTCCTGAGATAAAGTCTTGGTGGATGATATGGTCACGTGTAATGGACAGTTGGCTTAATATTTTTCTCAGTTTAATTGTCATCATTAGTTTTATAATACTTGTTATCCTTGTTATTATACGATTTTGTTGTAGTGAAAAACAATCATATACAGTGGGTAGGCAATTCATTGATTGAAAATAAAATCAATTTCGTTTTTTTTTTTTTTTTTAACAATTAAGCAGTTATATTCATATCTTATCAGTAAAATTAAACATTATCACTATCTTTTCCACAAATGTATGTACATTTTTAAATTATTCAAAACATCTAACATTTTTATTGATGTTTCTTTTTTTTTTTTTTTTTTAGTTTCCTATTACAGATAATATATTATTAATGCTATATTTAAAGTATTATATTTGAATTTTTTTTTCCTTTCGAATGTTATATTTAAATATGGTTATTTTATGCTTTAGAGCATTAATTATAGTTAAAGTCATAAGAATCCATAAATTAATCTATCGTATATTAATCATGGATTTTTTTTTTTGAATTGTAGATTATTGTTAGCGAAATAATTATAATAAAAAATTAGATTTGCTGATAGCATTGATAAGAATTTGTAAAATATACCAAATATATCGATTAACAAATGTCAATAGCTAAGATTACGAGAATCAATCAAATTATGCTAATAATTGATGAGAAAGTAAGAAGCATGAACAATTAATTGTACATTTAATAATTACTTTATTCAGAATTAGAAGAATTAAGTAAAGTAAACATTTCGGTAATTTCAATCATTTCATTTGCATATTTGATATATTTGAAGAATTTTGGCATTACTTGATCACAATCATTTCTTAGATAGAATTAATCGCATTTACTATCAAATCTGATACAATTAAAATTCTCCAATTTTGTATTTAACTTATTGCATTGCGGTAAAATTGATATTTCTTCTAATTTCCAACGTTGTATTTTTTGTACAAAGCGCTATGTTGCAATTTAATTTGTGATTTCAATTTTAAATATTATCATATTTAATAATTTAAAAAAAAAAGAAAGAGAAAGAATAATGGAATTTGTTTGAAGTGTCTGGAATCGATGATGAAAAAAAAACAAAGAATGAATGAACAAAGACAGAGAAAAGTCTTTGTAAATATCAAATTTTATTGAAAAAAAAAAAAGAGGGGAAAATTTGTTATGGAAATTTTGAAATGTAATCCTAAATGAAAAACTATTTGAGTTCTCTCATAAAAACCGAAATTATTGTTATAAAAAAACATTCTTCAGCAATAAATTTTTCCAAAAATTTATTTTCATTGCAGTTCTTTTTCTTGACAAAATTATACATTACATAGTGGCAGTGTTAAAGAAATGCAAAAAGAAGAAAAAAGAGAAAAAAAAACATTGTGAAGTATTCTCGAAGAAAAACAACAAACTATAAAATATGTTATTTCAAAATATCACAAATAAAATATAACAAAATCTATTCATTCTTTGGGTTCATTAATATTAGATTTTATTTTTATTTCATTCTCGAATATCTTGCAAATCGCTTGAAATTAGACTTCATTCTCGAATATCTTGCAAATCGCTTGAAATTAGACTTCATTCTTGAATATCTTTGAAATAATTTTACTCTAATTTAGTATTTAATATATTATTTGATCATTGCATATTTATAGCTCTCGATGTCTGTATTGCTTCTGTTTTTAAATGCATACTAATGTTCAATATTTAATTAATAAATAATTAGCAGTAAGTAAGAAAAGATAGTAATTACTGATTCGTTAGAAGGAGAAAAAAAAAAAGAAAAGAAAACATTCCTACTACAATGACAATAATTGTATCTTTTTGTGTGTAATTAAGAATTGTTTTATGAATGTTTAGAAAGTTACATTAATTGAATGTATCATTAAATTCATGCAGATGTAATGTTAAAAATATTAGATATCAAATAATCAGTAATGCTAATCAATATTCCCTGCCTTGTTATCATTACAGATCATTGATAAACAGAGAGCAGTGTAACACTGTGTTAATTTCTTTATACAACAAAACAAAATTTGAAATATTTTAGCAGAAAAAAAAAAAGGAATTGCTATGGAATACATCATGTGTCACTGCAATCACTGCTTCCTGAGCTCGACGGAATAGGTAAACCGGTATGTACCGTTATCAATGTATCACAGTTGACACTAAACGCCGGATAATACAAACCATGCGGCATATTCCTTAAATACAAATATTACTTCACCTACTTTTATATCTCTTTCCCTCTCTCCCTTTATTTATTTATTTATTTACTTACTTATTTATTTATAAAAATCATGCGACATATTTTTTAAAGATAAACATTACTTTGCTTACTTTTAGATCTCTTTCTCTATTTATATGTATTTTACTTATTTACTTCTACTACACAAAAAAGGATGCACCCTCTAAGTACATGAAAATGCAGTAATTTCAGTAAAATAAGTAATAAAGAAAAAAAAAAAAAAACTATTCTATGCTTTCCTTTATCTTTTAATAATATATAATTAAAATACCGGAATGCAACTAATTGTCCTTCATAATTTCGTCGTGTATCGTTGACAAAGAATGCAAGAGTACCCTTATCACAATCTAGTAGTATTCCGATCACCGATCCAACACTAATACCACCGATAATCCGACTATGATGCATTCCGTTATGCAAGTACCACGAACGTTCACCATCGATGTACATTGACCAACCGTGTAAATCTTTTCCTGATCACATTTACTGATATTATCCGTATTCATTTTATATAGCAATATAAAATATTAGTTTCTCTGATTGCTTTTTATTTTGAACTGATAAAAGATTCTTGTTGAAAGTTTGAAGGTTAATACCAAGCATAATTCCACGATTGAATGCATTTTGCGCTACGCCAACCACAACATCTGCATTTCCTGCATGACGCTCTACCGTCACTTCCCAGTAATGTATTCCGCGGGAGAAAGCAATGGATCCGCATAGGGTTCTATATTCCATTGTTGTTCCGGTTACTGACATACATTCATTGGATATTGTTAAATCATTTTGTGAAGCTGATTTGTTTAATTGGAACCATGCCACTGGAAAGAAAAAAATTCTTGATTAAACGTAAATTTACGTAAGAACCGGATAAACAAATGAATGGATCGATCGATCGATCAATCCATTCAGTGATTGATGAATTGAACGAAAAATTTTTTACACAGAATGAATTCTCGAGAATAAGATTATTACTGACAATTAAGATATGTCTTGCTTTCTATCAGAATTTATATTTCCGGAATAAGTAACGGAACACTAACCGCCAGCCGTCTGAAGACATATCATATCGCTATATGAGCTTTCTCCGGCTGCATTAAATGCTTTAACACGCGCATTGTAAACTGTATTAAAATGTAAGCCATCAATTGTACATATCGTATCTCTGCCACAATATACTTCCTGTAAAAATCAAATTTGGAATTGAATAACTAATTTGGAATTTTTTTTTTTTCATTTAGAATATTTAGAATTTTTTTTTTCTTTTTTTTTGAAAAGATAAATTATTTTATCATTTATTTGTAATAAATATTAATTGCAATATAATCCTTTCTTACAGTATATATTATTTATAGCAATTGGAAATTGTTACAGTATTATAGCACAGTTAAATTATATGCATAGGAAATTAACCTTGAATAATCCATCATCAGAACCGGAATCGATCTCTAATATATAACCATCAATTGCGCAATCATCATTTTGCGCTTTCCACGCAATAGTTACCGAATTATTTTCCGCAACACATTCCGCCGTTTCAATTAAAGGCGCATTTGGGGCTGTAAAAAAAGTAATTAAATTTATGAATTATATGTTACTGTATTTAATTATTTCTATATATTAAAAAAAGTGGAACAGTCAATTTATAACAATTTAATGCGGCAAATTAAGCAAAATATTTAATTTGCTTAACAAATAATCACCACAACCACGAAACAATAACAATAACAACACGACGGATCAACAGAATATTACAAATTACCAATTAAAATTGACATTAATTCTATTCCTAATATAAATTAAATTTGTAAGATTCGTTCTGAACCTTTTATGGATCAATTTATAACAATTTAATGCGAATTTAATTTAATAACAATTTAATTATTTAATATAAATGAACAAATGATATAAATCATTTTTTTTATCAATATAGTACTGTTTTAAACTAATGAAGGCAAACTTTCGGAATTATCTAGGATACCTTCCTAGATCGTATTTATTTTAGCAAATTCATAAACATATTATTAAAATTTAAAACTTTGAATACTAATTAGTATCGTTGCATGCTATACTTAAATTTACACCATTAAATATACTTTACCAATGATTGAATCACCGTTCTTTCTTATCAATCGATCACCTGAATGAGGTAATTCTTGCTAACAATATTTAAGTATTAGAAAAATATTATTTAAGTATTCAAATTTGTTGTCTTTCGTAAAAAAAAGAAAATGTAAAAGATTAAAAAAAAAAAAAAAACTTTTGAAAATTTAAAAAACTGTGCTATAACTTTTTGTACATTTAACGTTATCTTAAAATGCCCTCAAAAAAAAAAAAAATAATTCCTTTAGCGAATCCACTTAAAAAATTAGTTCTTTATAATATATAATTAATTTAGTTTCGCTTAATTTTGAAACTTATCTTTAGTTTGATCTGATAAGAATTTGCTTTGAATTTTGTAAGCTAATTTTATTGCTCTGATTAAATTGCTAATTTTACTTTTTTTAATAATTAAACTTTTAAGTTTTTTTTTTTTTTTTTTTAATGCATTACTACCTTAGCTATTGTTTTATGAATGTAATAATAATAGATGTTGCAGAAAATTGTTATATAAATTTGTATATATGATAATTTTCTGTTGATATTCGATACTCGAAATTGTAAAAATATATTTTAAATTTAACCAAAAAGAAACCTTTCAATTGCGCAAAATCTAATGTCTGTATGGCATACTGCAAATTGTTCACATCTAAGTTTAATATAAATTCCGGATCCGCTTCCGGTGTCGTCTGCATCTCCTTATGCCATAGGAATTCTTGCGTTGTGGCACGATTAATCAAAGCGCTACTTACCTAAAATATTTTTTGTTTCAGTTAAAAACAACATTACACATTATTACTTGTTTCAAGTATAATTGACTGATTTTTCGATTAACAGTAAAAAAAAATAACTTTTGATAGACAGTAGATTGACTACTAATTAATTATTAATTAAGTAACTTTTTAAAGGATTAAATTTAATGTCAAAATATTGATTGATACATTTATTTTTATGAGAAAAGTTAAAATAGAAATTTTTTCAGCTAAAATTTGATGAAAGTTTCCAAAAGATTATACGAGAAGAAAAATTTATTCAAAAGATATTAGTATCATCAGATCAAATCGATTGAAATTTAGATAAACGAACCTGTAAATAAGTTGCTGGATCAGGTTCCTTGAGAACTTCAATGCAAAATTGTATGAGAGCGGTTGTCTTTGATAATTTTGTGGTACAACGTCCGATTTGCTCTTTGAATATTCGTCTCTGAAAGACGGCCAAGTGAACATTATCACATTAGTGCATAAAGTTGAGTGATATCATCTCTTCGTGATAATAACAGTTTCACGACCCTTCCAATGGTCAGCATAGCTGATACTGTGATCACTGTTATCAGTTATCATCATTTGATCTATTATTGTTGATTTAAATGACTAATTTAAATTTACACTGTTGTTAGTTAAATTTAACATATGATAATATCAGTTAACAGTATTTATTTAACAACTTAAAAATTTGAATTGCCAACGAACACTTTACTAATAATTCAATGTAATTACCTTAAATTCTTTTTCTTCTTCCACATACTGCAAAAGCTTTTGCTTTCTCTCTTGTAACTGTTCAATCAATGAATCCACCTGTACGGTTAATCTATGTTGAAAATCAAAACAATTTACCTGAAAATTATTTCAAATATATTTTGAATTTCATATAATTACAATAATAAAGGATCGATTGCTTTGAGATATTTTAGAAATTCCACTATTTCTCAAATAATTTTTAACATACAGAAATAGCATCATTGAGTTGCTTGAGTCGAGTAATATCTTCTGTTGCATGTTTTGCTTTTTCACTTAAAAGTTGCAGAATTTGTGATAATTCAGCCTGAAATAAATTAAAATGAACAAATAAGATTTATTGTTGTTGAGAAGAAAGAATTTTTGTTGAAAAGAATTCAATTCTAGCAATGATATTATTAATTATAATTAATCAATATTAGCACTATTACTACCATTGCTACAATTATTTTATTTATTTATTTATTTATTTATTTATTTATTTATTTATTATTATTACATATAATTTCACTTAAATTCTTATTGATTAATTACAATTATTTATATTATTAATTATAATTAATCAACATTAGCACCACTGTTATTACTACCATTGATATAATTATTTATTTTATTTAGTTATTCATCTATTTATCTACTTATTATTATTATCATTATTACTATTATTATTATTATCATTATTATTATTATCATTATTATTATTTTATTATTATTATTATTGTTATTATTGTTATTGTTATTATTATTATTATCACATATGACTTCATTTAAATTCTTATTGAATGCATATCTGTTTGGTGAGGACAACAAGAAGAAGCACTGTTCAATTAATTATAACATTGAAATTGTGTGTTACACAAGAATTATTGATTGACTGCTTGATTGATTGATTGAAGAAAATTTTGTTAAATGATTAAAATTCATTGCATTTGTTTGTATTCCAACAACAAAACACACATTTATTTCATCATTTTGCTACTACTACTAGACTAGCAGCTAAGCATCTCAAAGTTAATTAGCAACGACATATCACTCGCAAAGACATCAATCCGAAATTGTCCATCAATCTTGCATTATCTGATGGATAGCACAGCAGTGGTATTTGCTGATTGTTTCCGATTGTTTCAATCAGTTCACAAATTGTCCACCATCTTATAAAAAAAAAAAAAAGGAAAAAGTCTTTTGAAAGCCATTTATAATCACAGCTTAATTTTTCTCTCTCTCTCTCCCTTTCCCTCTCTCTTTGTCTCTTTTCCTGGAACATCCCGAGACATTGCTAAATATTTTTGAAAATTGATAATAAAACAATTTGGAACATTTGAAATATTTGAAATGCTAAAATTGCTGTTTGCGAATGCAAATAAACTCAACCAAAAAATCTATATTCATAGTGTTTGATAATTAAAAAATTAAAAAAAAAAAGAAAAAAAGATGTAAAAGTTGAGTGATTAATTCATAATGAAATTTCCCGCATTATTTTCAAAATTGCATACCGTAAGATTTTACAAAAAAAAAAAAAAAAAACAATTATGAATAATTCATAAATTTCACACAATTTCATTCAATTTTGAAAGAAAGGAAAAATCATCATCTTTTGAATAATTTTTCTACTTCCTTCTTCCATCTTTTCATTCTTCTTTCACACAGCTGTGAGAGATCAAAATGATAAGATGACACATTGACGGTAGTTTACTTTTCATTTTCATTAAAATATGAAAAAAATTGTCAAAATTAAAATTGACAATGTTATTTATTCCTCATCGATTCTTCATGTGCCATTATCAGAAATGTTAACTATTCAAATAAAATTTTGACTTGTAATTTGATCATTTTCATAATTCTCTTTCCCTTTTTTTTTTTTTTTTATAAATTATGTAACACTCATTTTGCTAAAAGTATACGAAACTTAATTTTGTTAAGTATTTTACAGTCGCAGGACAGCTCATCAACATATTTAAAGCAATTCCACAACTTTCGAGACAATTTTTCAAATTATTAAGAACTCAATGTATATATGCGTGTGTGTGTGTGTGTGTGTGTGTGTGTGTGTCGTTTGAAAATTATTCAAAATTTGAAAAAACAAATTTCAGTTTTTTTTTTTAAATTTCAAAAAAAAAAATTTGAAAGATATATGTATTCTGGCTAATTTTATCCTTCAATATATCCGAGTCCGAAACACTTCTTTAACTATTTTTACTCGAGCATTAAATTTTAAATGTAGTAAATTAATTTTTTCCCATGAAATAATGTGTAACCAAGCATCATTAAACAAAACTAAACCTTGAATTTGGGAAATTATTTTGCTATGAATGGTTTAATTTTAATGATATAAAAGCTGTAAGCGTGTGTAAATTTACTCAAATTTCAAATTTCGATTAATTAAATTTCAAAACAAAAAAAACTTTAAAAGGTATATGTATTCCGACTAATTTTACATAAATAAGATATATGAGAACAAATGAAAAATTTATTTTCTGTAAATGTTTGCTATTAAACTCATTCTATTAATGTTTGCTTATTGGCAAAGATTTTAAGTATTTTATGAGGTAATATAAAGAGTAAAAGCCTAGAAGTAAATTACTGTTAGCTGTTTCGTTCTATTGATTTGCCACCGTTCTTCGATATTGGCAATTTAATGACCACAATTTTATGGTTGCTCAGAGGGAAGAAAAAGAAAATTACATGCTTGCTGAAGCTTGATTGACCAATCCGATGAGATTTAGCTGTCATATCAGATATTCTATGCCCTAGAATCCAAAATTATACAATTTTCAGTCTAATTCATCATCATCATCATCATCAGGTCAAATGATGATGATTCATTTATAAAATAGACCAGTTGTAATACTAAATCGTTATTGGTCATAATTTTCCATAAGCTTTAAATTCATCATTATTATAAAAGTTAGCATTTAATCTTTGTCAGATATGATTGCATTTTCCAATAAATTAACTTTCAATTTATCACAAAATTGAAATTGAAATTTGGAATAAAATATTGGAGGAAAAAATTTCTTCTTCTAATGTCAATTAATCATAGAATGTTTCTTCTGCTTTTTTGCCTGAAATAATCCATGAAGAAATTAAATTTTCCTAGCAAAGTAGATAATAAATGATCTTCCACAAAATTATATAATTTAATAGAGCAAAATATACACATAATTGCATAGAGATATAAAAGTTTAAAATTTAATTTCTCTCAAATTTTTATCTTATTTATCAATCATTTTCCAAATTATTGCAAATTTTCGATTATTAACATTAGTCTTTAGATTTAAAATTAAATATACTACGAGATTTTCACGTGACTCACGCTAATCATGATAAATTAACACGTTTGGTTCCTCAATATCGAAAATAGCCAATTATCATTTTATGGTATATTGGAGTAATTAACACTTTACTATGAAATAAATAGCAATAAAATTAGCACACATTCCCTTCCTTACTTTTAATACTATCAATAATTTTTCCCTTTTATCCTTTGATCACAGTTTTATCTCACACTCTTTCATTTCCTTTATTATTATCTTGTGGCTAGGAAAGATCAAAGAGAAATCGCTGACAAATTAGCTTATATATCGTCGTTAGATGGAATAATATGACCTCGTTACAAGCTGTTAAAATGTGAAAGCTTCGAAGTGCAATTCAACCCTCTCCCTCCCTCTCTCTCTCTCTCTCTCTCTCATTATTTCTTTTATCCTTTCAAATATCGAGAACAGTTGTACGATCACTTCTTCATCATAAATTTTGCGGTAGGATGAATTTCTGTAAAACAGGACAGTGATATATTTGATTAGATTGATAGGTGGTAGATGGATAATAAATGTCAGCTCATTGTCACTGTCATTGTCAATATTTTATAGATATTTGAAGAGATCAGTTGTTCTATTCTCTGAAATCTTTTTTTTTTTAATAAACTTTTACTGTCATTTGTTTCCTTCTTCGTTTTTTCTATCATTGGTTAATCTAAAAAATTGATAAAATTTTCTCTCATGGGAAAACGAATCATTTTCCATTCATAGTTTTCACATTATTTCTTTTTCTCTTTTTTTTCTTAGAAGTAATTGGATGTTTGGAATAAGTAAAGTTTATGAAAAATTGAAAAAATTAAATTTAAAAGATTGGAGATGAAATATATGTTGCAATAACAGGTCATCCAAAAGGTTGAAACTCCATTGTTGGGAAAAGGTTAGATGTGAACGAAGGAATAAAACGAAATAAGATACCGCATCGTAAATCTCTCTTTCACGGTATTTTCTTTCATCTCTAAAACCGTCTGGAATTTCACACCTTCAAAAAGGAACAAAGAGAAAAATTGTAACCTTAAACTAAATTTAAATATTACCTTTCACACCTTCACAACTATCATTTATTTGAAATGCTATTTGAATCTAAATGAGATAGAACATTGCACATTATACTAAAACTATAACAAATTTAATATATAAATGAAATTTAATACTATCAAATTGAATTATCTTCGAGTTATCTTCGAGATTGAACTCGAATATTTCATAAAACGATAATCGATACTTATTAGTAGTAAAGTTAGAAAAAAAAAATGAAGTAATTCACCTCTCCTTCACCTTATTTTTTGCTAAAAGCAATCAATTTAGCCAAATAAGTGAATGATTTTTAAGATCGAATTAAAAGTATATTAAAATTCAATAATAAAATCCTAATATACAGCTGCTGATTAATTTGATAATTATAAATTATTAAAAAGTATCATTAATAGTAATAATAGATTCGTGCCATTACTCTTCCGCCGATGTGTTATCACGTTTACACTTATTTCTGTCAGTAATTTTAAGTAATGAAATTCATAATTATTTCTTACTGACATTATATCGCTGAGATAATTGTCATTTCTTTGATAAATGTCATCTTCGAGACTGGACTCGAATATTTCATCAATCAATCAATCAATCAGATTCAATCAATAATTTTGATTAACACTTTTATCGCTTTAAATTTTTTTATTCATCAGTAAACTTTTAATTGGTAAAATGATATTTATGTTTCTTTCTTTTTTTCTCATGTGCTAGTATAAGTAAGCATTCTGTTCAGTATAAGTAAGAAGTATAGGTAAGAATTCGCTCAACAAAATAGAATTATTAAAAGATATAGCAAATAATTATGGATCGTTAACATAATAAAATGTAAAAAGTTAAATTTAGATTTCTTGAAATGTAGAAAGTTAAAATTTGATTTCTACAATCGTTCAAATACTAATATTGAAATGACAATTAAATCATTTATAATCTAAGTAATATAAGATGTTTTTCAATTAGCGCTGTGAGCAAATAAATGAAGTGGAAAAAATTTGAAAATCAGAGACAAATATGCTTCTGAAAGCAACCGGAAATATTCAAATAATTAAAAGCTTTAATTTCGAAGTATATCCCAAAAAATATCAGACAAAAACAAAAAAAGACTTCAAAAATTATTAAAAATCAGTTATTTCAAAACATTCATCCATGTAGTTTTTTTTTTTTTTTTATTGCAATAATTTTCATATTTTTATCAAAATGATCGATGAATATTGCAATCATTGTGATCTTTGATCTCATTATTTATTTATTGTATTTCTTATTTATATATGTTGATTATTTGCATTTTATAATATAGATTAATGTTGAAATTATTGGTTGATTATAATTTAGATTCATTATGTTGTGAGGAATATGTGAATTCTGTCCCTCATTCAGTTTAATATTTTCATTCAGCAAATTGATCAATCAAATATTTGGTAATCAAAGTGAAACAAATTATTCTGTTGGGATGCTATGAACGAAGTAAACAAGGAATTAAGAAGACGAAGTGAAGTTAAGGGTTGATTAGGCCTGAAATTTAACTCCTTGGCATGCCAATGTAAGCCTAAATTCTCAACTGAAGCTTAATTGTGCAAAGTATAAAGTTGAGCTTACTAAGAAATTATTTGGAAAATCATTCATGCATGCATGCATGCAAGCAAGCAAGCAAGCAAAAGATTGCTGAATAGCACAGTTTAATCATAAATGCATCATAATTTTGAAAGCTGAAAAATCATTTAAAAAAAAGCATCAAAGGTAATAGCAAAAAATTACGAAAAAAAAAAAGAGAAATAACGAAAAAGTTATAAATAATATTAATATTCTCATGCAATAATTAAATTTTAGAAATTTTGGAATTAAATTTTGAAAAAAAAAAATTAATATATATCAGCAGGAAAGATCTTATCAGAAGATAATGGAATTTGCTCCTATATTATCAGTAATATTATTAAACTTCATAGCTTTTGTAACATAGACACCTTGTAGATTATAAAACAATTTCATAAAAATCTTATTTTCCCTTTTAGTTTTTACATCTTACATAGACTAATCTGTCAGCTAATAATATACAAAAATCAAAAATTTTTAAACAAAACTTGATATTATCAATAAGTTTTTCATTCTCGATTGGTTCAAATTTCTTTTTTCACACTTCAAAATTTTAATTAAATGAGAAAGTGAGAAATTACTATTTCCCATTGTCTTTGTGGTCAAAAGTATGATCGATATCAATTAAAAGATAAATTAAAAGTCAATTTGCCATTCTTCATAATAAATAAAATTGAGGACAATAAAAGAGGTCATTAATATGTCTCTAATGTCTAATGTTTAATTGAGTCATGTATACGATTTTCCTACATTTCAAAAGTAATAAAATATGCCATCTAAAGTTTTGAAAAACAAAAACAGAAAACAAAAATTGTGAAGTATTAATATTGGAGGAGAAGAAATCTAAAAATAAAATAAAGATTTCGAATTTCAAATCTTTAACATTTTAATTGGATGAGAAATTATTCTCGTCATCTATTAGCACAATAAATTTCGGTAATATTTTTCAGATAGTGAGCTTCATATTGCTAATACAATAAAGATGTATGAGTATAGTTGTTGCTAATACAATAAAGATGTATGAGCATAGTTGTTGCTAATACAATAAAGATGTTATGTGTTGTTTATGTATTCAGTGTTCTCTATTATGATTAATTAAATCTAAGTAATAAATAATTTTATATAATAAAATAATCGAATCTTTTGTGTTTTGCAAATTTTATTAAAATAATAAATAATAAAATTTTGTAAAAAATTTGTATTTATATGAAAAATCGATTTATATGAAAAATTAATTGAATCTTTTGTGTTTTTGCAAATTTTATTAAAATAATAAATAAAAAAATTTTGTAAAAAATTTGTATTTATATGAAAAATCGATTTATATGAAAAATTAATCGAACCTTTTGTGTTTTGCAAATTTTATTAAAATAATAAATAATAAAATTTTGTAAAAAATTTGTATTTATATGAAAAATCGATTTATATGAAAAATTAATTGAATCTTTTGTGTTTTTGCAAATTTTATTAAAATAATAAATAAAAAAATTTTGTAAAAAATTTGTATTTATATGAAAAATTAATCGAACCTTTTGTGTTTTGCAAATTTTATTAAAATAATAAATAATAAAATTTTGTAAAAAATTTGTATTTATATGAAAAATCGATTTATATGAAAAATTAATCGAACCTTTTGTGTTTTGCAAATTTTATTAAAATAATAAATAAAAAAATTTTGTAAAAAATTTGTATTTATATGAAAAATTAATCGAACCTTTTGTGTTTTGCAAATTTTATCAAGACTCTGCACATCATGATTGGAATGTTTCGTTTCTTGTAAACATTGACAACAGACTGCTAATCGACAAATCATACAGTACATTGAGAGGTTTTCAAGCGGATGATTTGGACATTTCGAATCTTTTGGCAAACCGATCGCTGTCCGATATGACCTTCTAAAATTATTGTCTGGGTCAAATCAAAGTTCATGTGCTAGTTTAGAATAAAAGAAAGGAAGAAAGGAAAGAAAAAAAAAATAAATTCCTGCATATATTCTATCATATTGCTTACATTTTCCATTTATTTTTATCTCAAAAAAAAAAAAAAAAAAAAAAACATTTGACAGTATTCTTCCAAAATTTCAACAGATGGATAATTTATTCAAAAATTATAAAAAAATAGTTGTAATTAAAAACATTTTGATGGAAAAATTAACAATAAGCAATTGTGATTTATTATTATTTATTGCATTTTCGTAGAGAGAAAAAAAAGAAAAAAAAAAAAACAACGATTAATCAAATTAATTCTTGGTAACAATAGATAATACCTTGCAGATGGTGGCACCAATTTATGGGAAGCTAAAGGTCCACGAGCTGGATGTAATGAATTTTGGCATGATTGACAGTAGTAAATGTCACATTGTTCACAGAAAACATTAGCTATTGCTGGTTCCTCGGTATCACATAGCTGAAATGCAACCTTTGAGCAAAAGCTACACCTCACTGACTTACCTCGGTGCATTTATTTTGCATCAACTCTTTGACATTCATGAAAAAAATCATTTCTTTATGTTCAACTATCACAAATATTGTTATCATATCAAAATATCAATTAATCAATTTTACAATGCCTTAGCAATTGGCTGATAAATCTATGATAACAATCTAACACATCAATTAGTATTTCATCAATTTCTCCGATACTTAAACGTGATCGTACGTGATATTTCTCCTTTCATGAATCATTTAGGTACAGATTTTAATTAGTCTAAAAGTATCGATGAACTGATCAAACATACCTGGCAATTATAGATCTGTTCACTACTACCACTTTTATCTCGAGCTGATAGATTACCTGAATGATACCTGAAATTCATTGATTCATTCATTACATTCAGAATTTATTGTTTTGTAGTGATAAACATGGCATTAGAGCAAGAATATCACTAATTTACTTATCAGTGCCCCTTCTTTTTTTTTTTCAGATACCTTTTGATAACATTGACAAGTGCATTATTAATAGGCATTAGCATAACAGTTTGTTCATCTGGAAAAACTGTTCGTTTATAGCATGCTTTACAGGTAACAATCCATCCTGAGGTGGACGGTGTTAAAATAGACGGTAGACGATGTCCACCAAGATAACCGGAAGGAAAAGAATGTGCAGCTGCTGAACCGATTAATGATGGTGGTCGAGAATCTGAAAAAGTTATTCTAATTATAGAAAGCATTCTGATAATGTGCAATAATAAAATACAACAAATATTACATTGTTTAAAAGAAACTTTAATTATATATAAGAAAAAAAAAAAGATTTACTTCTACCGGAGACAACAACCCCACTATCAGTTTCTGATATGATCGAAAGTTTGTCGCTTTCAATATCCTGATCCGAAATGCATAATGAGATTGTATCACTAGCACCTTTAAAAAAAAAAAAAAAAAAATATGAATTTCAATTTGCTTTAAAAAATTTACTAAAAAAAAAATGGAATTGATCAAACTTTTCATTTATAGATGTATATAAAAATGAAATATTAGCACATGAAATTACTCTTAACAATTTTTTTTTTTTTAAAGAAAAATTTAAAACTCGAAAATTTTAGATTTTTTTTTAAAAAATTCAAAAAAAAAAATGAAATATTGATAGCTGTTGCACCTCCCAAGATATTTTAACATAAACGTTTTTGCTATTTGCAATGTAACAAAATACTAATTCTTACACTAAATATTATAATTTCACTTTTATTTGATGATAATAATTATGGATTATAATAAATATAATTCCTAATTAAATCGTTAGATACTTTACCCACTAATTTAAATCAATTATGTGACATTCTTTTTTCATTTTTAAATTTGAATTTATTTAATTGTTTATGTTCTGCACTTTTGTTCACTTATTGTATCACTAAACTAATTATATCAGTTAAAATATTCACGAAAGCAAACGGAGTAATGGAACAGTCAACCTTTGAACCTATGAGAGCATAATCTGATGATAATAACTTGTAAATGATTGCAAACCGCTGCTTGAAGGTAGTGATAACGGTGTGGTATTATGAAGATGCGTAAATGGTGCCGTTCCGGATGTTGTCGTACCGCTGTGAGAATGTGGCGGTGATATGGTTGATGCGTTATGACAAACCGGTTGTTGACACTGTACCACACATCGACGACAATAGCTATGTGCGCAACTGAGAAGTATTGGTTCTATAAAAAAAGAATTTTTTTTTGACCATTAAGAAAAACTTATAAATTAGTTATAACAGTATCATTATTCAGAATCTTATGAAATTGAAAGAACAAAAATTAACAATGATAGTGGAATTTTATCACTGATAAGCGATAGTATAGCAGTGATAATTGGAGGTTCTATTTTTGATAAATATTGAAATTTTAATGATTACAATCTTCTGTAAATGTTTATACAAATAGTATACATTTAATTGTTTTGATTTTTAAATGGTGTTGATAAGATTTTATCGGTTCATAGAGTAAATTTATTTTTGAAGAAAGAATTAAGCACGAAAACGAAGAGAGCAAAGAAAACTACTTCGTTTCTTTTTTTTTTTTTTTTTTTTTTCTCGATTTAATTTATCTTTGTCAACTGATCGTATTAACATATTTATCAAATATCACTCTTATCAGATTTAATTATCAGATTTGCTCTTACAAAAATTATATGATAAATTATTGCTTTTCGAAAGCAAAAAAAAAGAAAAAGTATATGACTATAGTTGAAAAATTGTATCTAATGGGAAAAATAAACTTTTGCGTTTTCTCAAACTGACCACTAACAAGTGGTCATTTGATAGGCCAGCAAGTGTCACACAGTTACTTCCTACTTGTTAAAAATGATTGACATACCTGTTGACATGAACACAAAGGTATGATGATAAATCATTTCCTATTTACTTATCATAATCACTAAATAATCTAGCGTGGGAACTTTTGAAATTATTCAGATAAGGAAAGGTTAAAGGTAAAAAAAGGTTAAAGATAAAAAAAATTTTGTTCGAATCGCTAGAAGATTTTTTTTTTTTTTTCAGATAAAAGAAAAAAATTGATTAGAATATAGTTGGAAGGGATTTTGGAAGAATTAATTTCAATTTATACCTGTAAAAAATTCTTTGCAAAATAAACATTTCAATTCGTCCTCCATTTTTCATTCAGTAATTAATTGTAACAGAAAATTCTTTTTGTTGATCGTTTTAGTTTATTCGTCGTGCAATGATGAGTGCATATCAGTTAGTATCCGGAAAATTTTTGATACCGGAACAAAAGATAGCACAGTAAACGGAAAGAGTACCGAATAAATAGAGGTAGTTTAATTGAAATAACTGAAATATAGAATTGAAATACCGATGAAAAAAATGGCAGAGGTAGGCACCACTGGTATGTATGTTTTATATGATCGATTCTTAAGATAAGATTATATAAGCGTTTTCAAAATGATTAATTGCTGCTAGCTTTTGTGTATTTCGATCCTATAAATTGGTAGCAAAAATAGTTCACAAAACTTTCTGTTCTTATTTGCCACCTTTGTTTGCAAAAATTTTGCAGTAAAAAATTTCCTTTAATTTTTTTTTTTTTTTTTTTAATGAAATTTTTTCAAAAAAAAAAAACTCGTAATATTTACAAGAAGAGTAAAAAGAGAAAAGGATGAAAAAAAAAAGTAAATTTAACTTATGCAATAATGAAATGAAATATCTGAATTAGTAGTCTAAGAAAGGAAGATAGAAAATCAATCGAAAAAATGGAACATTTATAGTTTATTTATAAAATTAAATTTGAAATTAAAGTTACTAGAAATAATTTATTAAATTTAAATGTCTCCAATAGAAAAAAAAAATTGATATTTATAAAATTTATGTGACAGAAAAAGGAAAAACTTTTCCCAACTCTTTTACGCCAATAATTAAATAATTAATAAATAATAATAATAATAGTAATAAAATGATCGATCGATTTTTGTAAGGAATAAAGAGAACAATACTTAATTGAATTATGAATTACTAAGTACGAAGATAATAAAATGGGTAAAGTAGCGGGAAGAAAAAAGAACAAAGGAGTAATTAGCATAGATATGTTTCAACTGTTTCTGAAGGTCAACAATACAAACTAAAATTCCACTAACTTTCTCCCTCCATCCCTCCCATTTTCTTTCTTCTTACTTTTCATTTCATTTACCCGCTCATTACCCGTATTCATTCTCTCCTCCCCCAAATTGTTATAGTTTAATTTATAATAAACAAATTTATTGCTAATAAGAAAATAGCAGAACAAAATAAAAGCTTAGAGAAAGGAAAAGTAAGGAGGTGAAAAATCGGAAGATTAAGGAGAAAGAAGCATTTTATTATTGACAACAACAGGTTTACCCTTCCGTTTCTCTTTTGCTCGAACAATTTGCCAAAAAAAAAAAAAAAAAAGAGGGAGAGAGAGAGAAAAAGAAAAAAAGAAAAAAAAAAGTGAAATTTATTACTCTTTGAGGAATTTATCCAACATACTAATTGCATTCTGAAATTAATTTAAGAACGAATTAATTGCTTTGACTTTCAATAAAAGTGTTCTCTCTCTCTTTTTTTTTTGCTATTTCCAATAATACAATAATAGTTTATGCATGAAATTTTAATTTGTTTTAAGCAACGAATAATTGAAATTATAAATTTCATTTTAAGAATTCTTTTTTTTTTTTTTTTTTAAAACGAAAGCTTAGAAATGACAATAATTTTTCAGTAATTGATTGTAACATTTATCATAGTATCAATTTAAAATACATTGAAAATTTCAAATAATTTCAAATGGATATTCTAAAATATGTTGGCTCGTTATTTATAAGGCTAGGCTAGTTTTCAATGCAAAGGAAATGCATATAAGTAAAAAACCAATAAGCAGTAGTAATTTGCAAAATTTCTTCCGCAATTTATAAATTTGGAAAAATTGCAAACTGCAAGCAAATTACTAAATTTTAATGAATTTGATTTCAAATGAAAGAAATTATAAGTACAGAAACTAAAAGTTTTAATTGCTCATTCAACTAAATTCATTTTTAGATAAACAAATATTTTTAAATTATTTTTCATTCTACTAATTTTTGTCTTTCACTCACTCAAATAAATTTTTAATATTTATCCATTTGGTTGAAATTATAAATATTTAATAATGATGCATCACAATTTTTACTCATATTAACACATAAAATAGCTATTGCAGGACTAAACATTTTTTTTTTATTAAATTTTAAATTAAAAACGAAAAGAAAAAAAAATATAAAGTTTATATCAATTCAACAAAATAATCAAGAAGAGAGCAAAAAAAAAAAAAAAAAAAAAAAGAGAGAGAGAGAGCATCCATTATTTCCCTTTGAATGATTTTAATATATAAAAAAGAACCTAGGCCATTATTTTCTTCTTGGCTCTTTTTTCATTCTATAAAGGAAATCAATTGACGTTATTTTGATATTTACTCATTCATTCAGTTACAATGAATTAATATATATTTTTATTTCTAACATTTCTAAATAATTTATTTCGTTTTTTTGTTTTTCAAATAAAATATACTTTTTTTTTTTTTCAAATTTTCACAAATTATAATATTTACTGAGAATTACCATCAATGGATGATATATTTTAGGTTTGAAGGGTACCGCAGGTGTTCATGACATACCGTTCAGCTCAAATTAATTATCTGAATATAAGCGGATAATGCATATTTATTAATCCAAGATAATTTGACGATGATTTGATGCCCGAAAATATATATGAAATGAATGAAGTAGCAAAATCACATAGAAATATTATAAACAAGATTATCTGCTGTCTCATATCATGAATATTTGTCACACATATTGTACTTGATGATATCAATGAGAGCGCATTTGTCAAAAGTAATCATTAAACGATTATCTCTAATCTAATTTTATATAAAAAATAATAAACTAATTTTTGAATTAATACTAGTTGATAGTCTTTTTTTGTTTTTTAATTCAATATTAATTATTCAAATATATGATATAAACTATTAATTTCTATTCGAAATTAGTTAATCACTTTCAATCATTCGAAATAAGAATTGAAAAATTGAATAAACAATAAATTTAGATTGGTTAATGAGCATAAATGAAATGATTAGATTAAGTGTGTGTCATTTGTCAATTGATCTAAACCAATATAAATAAAAAGTATTTATGCTATAATCATTTTACCAAAATGAACATGTGTTAATTTTAAATTAATTTGGTTTAAAAAAGAAAAAACTTTTAACTAAATGATCAATTGTGTTAGAGATTTTTTGAATGTAGTAGAAAACATGGCGTTAAAGAAAATAATCTCTGAAATTTACAAATAATTTGTTGGGACATTTTCGATATGATTGATAGTAGTAGCAATGAGATTTAGCTATTTGTATAATACATAGTAAATAGAAGTAAGTAAGAATGAAAAGAAAAGAAAATCGTTTCATTTTTCTTTTTTCTTTCTTTCTTTCATTCATTCACTTTTTTTTTTCCTTCATTCTTCTCAAACTATTAGCCATTTTGAAAATTTGAATTTCGTAAAATTTATCGTTCATTTTTATAAACTTCCGTTCTTTCTTCCGGTGCTTTAGTTGATGCTATATCAAATGATTCAATTTATAGCTTTTTTTTTTTTTTTTTGAACAAATTTATCACCGTAATGAAGTTTTTTTTTTTTTAAAGGAAATTTAATATTTTAAAATGAAGATTATTAAATGTAAAATAAACAATTGTTATATCCTGGAAAAAAAAAAAAAAAAAACTTATGAAAACTAGAGAAATAAAAAGATTAGAAATTAAACTTAAACTTCTATTTTTACCTCTCTCTCTCTCTCTCCCTCGCTTTCTCTGTTTTGTCTTTCTTCAGATTTTAATCTCTTCTTAATCAGCATTGAATCTCCTTTAAGTCAAATAAACATTTTAGTGGAAATAAAAAAAAAAAAACAATAATAATAACAAAACCACTTTAATAATCAAATGCTCTATTTACAAAATAACTTTTCTTTTTTCTTTTCTTTAAGGATAGAATGAAATGAAATGAAAAATTGAAGAGAAACGGAAGAATTCGGAAGAAAAAAATGAAGAGAAACGGAAAAGTTTGAACAAGAAAAAAATGAAGTGAACATTCTCGAAAAGCACTTTTTTTTTTTTTTTTTTTTCAATTGAACAATCAAATGCTAAACGTTTAATTATGAATTAGTAGCGGTGGTAAGGAAAGAAGCATTTTAGGAAAATAAAAATTATTTTTTATTTATTTATTTATTTTCTTTTTTCTCATTTAACATTTACGGAAATAGAAACATTCCAGTTTTTACAACATTTACTGATTGTCGAAAAACAGAATGATGAATTAAAAGAAGAAAATAAATAGCCTTTTGTTAGATGCAGAAATATTTTCTAATTTCAGATATTTCTTTTCTCATAATAGCAACTAAATTAGAAGAAAAATTATAAGGCATACAAATTTTACTAGCAAAAATCATTTTAAATAAATTTGCATAACAATGCCTATTCATAATTTATAACAATATTTAAGAATTTTCATTTTCTCTTGATTGTTAAAATATAAAAACTAATTTTAAAGTTGCATTATCAGTATTTGAAAACAATAATTTGTATACTTATATTATATTAGAAAAGATATTTTGCATATTTGTATCAATGTCACATTGATGATATCAGAAAACATCATATTATGTCATATCATATCATATCATATCACATCTTATCAGAAAAAGACCTTTCATTTCTTCATATCATTCAAAATCTGAAATACTTTAGTAGTTGGTAGTACAACTGAAACTTAAGAAATGTTAAACATTTTTAGTGCAATTCCTTTTTATTGTGTGGAATCATTTCTCAAAACTTAAAAACTTTTTTTTTTTTTAAATTGTCTTCAATTTTTCCTGCTCACACTATCATTCACATACCTATCATTTTTCAGGAATTCGAAAGATTTTTTATTTTTATTTTTTTTGATGCATTACAATTTAATGTTATAAACATTCACTAATTCTTTCTCATATTTGTTGCAACTAATGCATATTAACGTGACTGTTCACGTATTGACGTGCTTTTCAAGCGTAACTTCTATCATTTTACTTGTTAGTTCATAATTTTTATTTTTGAATGCATTAGTAAAACGTTGT